ATTTTGGGAAAGCTGTATTTAAATGATACAAAGAATTAAAACCCGAACATAGCAAGGATGGATCTCAAGCATTAGTCAAGAGTGAGGTTAGAGAAGCAATTCCTGAGACAAAATGTTTTGACAAAGCTTTGCCAAAAAGGATAGAAAGATCTGAAAAGGTTTATAAGCTTTTTAATAGTATAGGCAAAAAAAAAATATTACGGGTAAAATCCACCCCCCAGGTTTCATCTTAAATCTAACTAAGGATAAAAAGAATTATGTAATAGTCAAAATCTTAAAGAAGAAAGTTTAATAGTATACTGTGCCATTTTTTCTGTATAATTTTGACGAGCTCGGATACCGTGTTCAGACTTTGCTATTATAGCATTAGAAAAAATAGTATTTTTTTTTATATATATATTTTTAAATATATATTAATAAAGCATTTTCTATATCAGGTTTTATTTTAAGTGATTACTACCAAATGTAATATAGTAATATAATATATTTTGCTAAACATCATGAAAAATAATTTGCTACTTCCAATATAACTAATTTGCTGACTACTGCGCTATGTAATTAATTCATTTTTTTTGCAATTTTGATGAGCCCAGACACTATGTCCAGACTCTACTATCTGATAATTGGCCATCTCGGGAGATAAATTTATGAGAAAATAGGGTTTATGACGAATATAATCATTTATAACTATATTGCAAACATGCAAAAAAGTAGCAGATGGAATATATAGATAAGATGAATGTGATAATTCTTGAATAATTAACATAAAATAAAGATTAATGATTTGGTATATAACAATGATAACAAGTTTAAACAAAATTTATCATTATACACAATTTATTTATATAACAAAGATATTTTGTATAACCTTACAATTCATATAGAGAGATTCTCAAAATTCTGGATTAGAATGTATTGGAACAGACCGAAATTGATCAATTTTGCCCAAGATCACTAAAAATTTTATTAATGAAACAATAGTCATTTATTAAGTAAAAAGTGCCTAGCTGATAATTTTACTATAACTCCTGCTAACCAATATAGCTAACCCTAACCTTAACTCTGACCCTAATTCGATATATTCTGGCCATATCGACTCAGAAATTTGGAGATTCTCTTTATAAAAAATATAACCTTACAAGGCTTATCATTATGCATAACTTATTTGTGAGATAGGACACAAATACCTTAACCAGTGTATCTATGTATCCCAAATCGGAATAAACAATCATTGTTTACAAAAATTATCTTTAGCTTAAAATTTTGCCTATAAAACCATCTTTTGTGTTATAACAAAAAAAATTTTATTGCAAAATTTTGGTATATATTACTTTAAAACTCTAACTAATCATTTCACAGTTGTAGTTATACAGGCAATTAATTTATATTAGCTAATCAGATGATCTTATAAGGTAAAATCAATAAAAACATGACATGTTTTTTTTTATAAAAGAGAATAATCTCTGAGATGGGATTTTATAATTAATTCTCTTTACAAATAACCTGGCATACATATTTTGATAAAAATAAAGTTCAAGATTAGAGCATTTATAGATTCCACAAAAATTGGATACATATATATAAACAAGACTATGAGAACCTTATCTACAGTAAAGCAGTAGATACACTTGCAAAAAGCCTTTGTGAGCTTATAAATAAAAGTTCAGATCCCACAAAAGTACAGAAAGCTAGTGACCTTTTAAAGGCAAGTATTTTTCTACATAGAATTGTCCTCTGCAATAATTTTTTAGATAATTGCAGTTGTCCACAATATAGAAAGTTCAACTTTTAGTCATTCTTCTGAGATCTTTTAAATCGTATTGTAGTTGTGATATTCTATAACTAGGAGGTGTGATACTTTTAGCTAGTCCTCTGACAAATCTTTTAGATTGTTATAGTTCTCAACACTGATTACAATATCATGCAAAAAGTATTTCATTTACTAGTTCAAACTTATAATTTTTTTTTTCATTGTCAGAACTACAACCAACGCAAAGAAGGGAACGCTATTGACAAACTATAGCTTACTGTCAAAAACAAACAATTAATTCTTAAAAAAAGAAACGTGAACAAAAAAACAAATTGTATACAATTAGTTTTTTGTAGAGATATCCATATTAACAATGTTAAAAATAAAAGAAATTACGAGAATGAAAATCCAGAGACACTAGAAGTCCCAATAAAAAAAGTCAATGTATTTAAAATTTGAAAAAATTATTACTAAATTTGATTAGATAAGCCAACTAAGATTAATAATATTTATATAAATTATATTAGATATCAGTCGGCAATGATGGTTCCTTATCAGAAAATAATGAATATGAAAAGCATCATGAGGAAGATGAAAAAATAATTTCATCAGAGGTCTAGATATCTTTCTTATTTTATGCATATCTTCTTAATTAATAAGATTTATCACTGAACTAATCCTTTTTCTATAGAGTCTGATTGTTAAAAAACTTATAAGTATTGGCAAAATTGTACGATATATAATTATCTTTTTGGCTAAAAAAAACAATAGTAGCCCAATTAAATTAGCTTTTAAAGAGAAGGAGTAGTTAAAACTTGAAATTGAATGGCAAAAAGTTAGTGGTCTCCTGTATATTTATTAAAATAATTCAATAATAAACTTATACTAGATTGAGGAGATGGTTGCACCTGTAAGAATAGAGTGGATTCAGATCAGGAGAGTCTATTAAAAAAATATAATGATGTGATCAAGAAGGCAACAATTGGATACAGTGTCAACTTGAGCGAAATCGTCAGCATTTTCAATAAGTATACGCTTATCAATCAGAATTACTATGTGTTTTGTAAGAAGTGGCCATTACAATAGATACAATCCATTTATAATACATTGTAGATAATGATTTCTATTTTGATACTTGAATTGATGATATTAGCTTTTGTTTTATTCTGTAGTTCATTATGCTTTAGTTTCGCAATTAATCTCTTCATGACAGCAATTTATCAGAATATTCATATAGGGATAAAATCATAAATCCTCTAATAGAAAATATTTTTCTGGAAATAAACGAAGTGATTTGTATGAAAACATAAGTCTTAGAAAATTATTTCAAATTGTGACTAATTATATAACTTAAATGCAATCCACTCATTGCTAACAGAGGTGAAGTTAAAAATTTAGACCGCAAGGTTTAGAAGGATTCAAATAGATTACTAGAGATACGTCATGCTACTGGTTGAGAGTATGCTGCTTTATTAGTAATGAAGGTAAAGAGTATCAAATATCAAATAGGATTTGAAGAGGTTGTAGGAAATGCTTGCGAACATGAAGATAAAAAATGGAGTGAGATAGAGAAAAAATTCTTAAGTGTAAGTAGAGGCTTTTCTTTATTTTATTTTATTTTTTTTGGCTAAGTAAAATATAGTAACTCTAGTATGTCTTAATTTCAATAGCAATACAACTTGGGCTCTTTTGACTGCAACAGGCATTGCGAGAATATGGAGCTGATAAAAATGATTTTAACAAGACCGAAACATTAGAGATTCTTGTGTATAGTAAGTAACAATCTAGTTGTATATTCTATTTTTTATTAAATCACCAAAACTTAATATTTTATTACTTTCATAGAAATTAATTTTTACTTTTACTCGATGCACTATTCTGGTAGTTTATATCTGACAGACAAATTCGATGAATTTGCAATACTCACTAGTACTAGTCAATTGAGCGAACTGTCAGAAATCATAAGATCAATGTTTTATTTTAAAATAATAACTAGAATTGTAATATTCTTTTGTTGTAAATATTAAATATCTTTTTTCTGACTTTTTTTTTCATCGCCAGCATCGTGTTGTTATCTTCACTACAATATACAAAATTTGTTCAATAGGAAACAGCAATTCAGACTGAAATCTTACCATTGTAGTAAAATTACAACCAATGAATCTCCTTAAAGCAAAATGAAGAACAAATATTTGTATTTTAATATTCATTGTACTTTTATTATTGAGTACATTGTATTGTGCAATGAATTTAGATAGCAAGATATAATAAAGTTTTTGCTCACACCAGTTTTAATTTTTAACATATATGCTGTATAAATAAATAAATATATATATATAAGATTACTTTGTAAGTGAGGAATATTGTATAAAAATTTGAATCAAAAAAAAAGTAATAAATATATATATTAAATGGCTAAGTCTCAAAGATAATATCGTAGGCATAATGAGTTGTGAGAATATTTAAACATAAAACATATATTATAATGGTCTTGAGAGAGAATGTTATATGGATTAAATCCACAAATGAGAGATTAGTATAATATGTAATTATATAATAAAAATTATCATATATTTTCAGGTTAAAGATTTTGCATAATAATAAAAAATAGTAGGGCACGAAACCCTTCTCTTTATTTTATTTTTATTTATATTATAAAAAAATACATCGCTGTTACATAATGCGAATACAAGAAAACAATATTATTTCTTTGATTTTATGATAATATGAACTTGATTTGAATCAAAAGTTCTACTTTTGAAATAATCAAACATTTTGGCATTGAATTCTTAGAAATGATAATGTAGAAATCAGAATCTTGACCTTGATTTTTTAACAGACCCTCAACTAGTATTCCTATGAACTGAACTGAACTAAACTTTTGGACAAGTTCAAGTTCAGTTCAAAATTGAACTGAACTTGAACTTGAACTTTTTTTAAAAAAA